GAGGAGCGATAGTTTGGTCTAACAAAGTGGAACATTTACAAAGATTGATATAAACACAGACAAGGAAACGAGAGAAGATGGATGGTCAGGAGGATGCAGCCAACAAGCTCTTTTCCTGGGAAGGATCTTTTGGCAAGAGTGTGAGCTTTTTAGAAAATATAGCCTACATAGGATGACACAGGCAGGCACATAAACCTGTGTGAACGTCCGCCTCACAACATATGCTGTGCTAATAGGCAATATGTTAATATGCTATGGTGATTCACAAATTGAAAAAGAACTAATGTTCCAAATAATAGTAGCCCAAAGGGGATTTGCTCCCTTGCTAAGCATATGCACACACTTACACATGCATGCATTCACAGACACACATGCATTCATACACACACAGTTAATGAAAGGCAGAGAGCTGCGGCCAGTCGGTGCCAGTCCAGCACGACATGGAGCCTGGCCAACTCTCATTAAGTGCCTTCCAACACAGAACCAACCAACTCCCTGCCACTGGCGGAGTAAAAGATGGAGGGACATTAAAAAGTGAGAAAACATGAGAAAGAGAGTGCACGTCAGGGTGAGCCACCTAATAGGCCGTGCTAGTGCTACTATTAGTGAGAAGTAAGTGGGACGGACATTTTTCCCTATTTCCTAACATTTCATGGACCAAATGGCAGATTCATCAATAAGCAATTTGAGGGTTAGTTGCAGCCCAAGTTACAAATACCCCAGCATCAAATCTATCATTTGAAGCTTCTGTTTGAAGTAGCAGATGGTGCCTGCAACTACAAATTAACTTTCATATTCATGTCCTGAGATTATACTGCCTTATGTGGCAAACCTCACCAGCTTCTTACATGTGGCTGTTTACCGTCAACCTCGCATGCATGGCAAATGTAAAAAGCTCCTCGCATCATATGAGCAAATAACTACCCGAATAGTCATTGAGGGGTGAAGAGAGAGAATCATTCATGATCCTTTGCTGCAAATTAGCGAGGTGCTGAGAGATGCCTTGCTGTGTCATGTGCTTCAGAGCAACAGCTGCAGATGCTTGGAACACAGTCATGCTCAAAAGATATGCATGTTATTTTGTTTAGCATTGTTCTTTTTAAGTGAGATTTTTAGATAAGCTTGTAGTGGGTTCCTAGCTAGAGTGCATGTGTATTTTATTTCAACATTTTCTTATTCTAACCTTTTCTTTTGTGCAATACCACGGAACACACACAGCTGATGATGTATCACGCCCTTCACTAGCTGGACCCCTCACTTTGTGGTTATCATGCCACGCCATGTCTCAGTGAGTTACACACTCAATTTAATTATATAAAAACCCCATGCATCCTTTCACGACCTCCTGAAAGGATGTCTCTTTTGTAGGGCTTTAAAAGTGTCCTTAAGAATCAGAGAGTGTGATTTGCTCTCTCCCTATTTGATTGCTGTTGGTCTTTGTCACAATTAAATTAAGCAGAAATTCAAATAGCATAAATAGAAAATTGAAAGATTCACTCATTCAAAAGCAAGGTACTGATTGTACCGTCATCTTTTGTAAATATGTACAATGGTATAACAATGTTGTGGTATTTTTATTATTGCTTTTAGGATGTCAATCACCATCTGGCAAAGGGACTATCGATGAAAACTAGCCTTTTGGCTAATTCGAGTACTTTTACATGTTTTTAATATGTTGATTAATGTACACTGTCCCTTGTTTTAAATAAATCAATTCAATTCAATTAAATTGTGTTACAACTGTTTGAAAAATGTGATTAGAAATTGGCTGCAGAACAACAACAGACTCCAGTCATTATCTCTTCCTCCTCGAACACAGGAACATACATTCCCTCTAGTTATCACATGATGTCTTGGCTATCAGATGCTGCTAGAATGAAAGGGGGCATTGCCTTGAGTCCATCACTTTCTCCCTCAATGACTTCTATCAGATGCTTTGTTTGTTTCAATAGGGTAGATTTGACTTCCCATGAACTTCTGGGAAAGACTTAGATCTTTTTGACCTTCCTTCCAGTTTCACAACAGGGTGCTGTCGAGTCCCGTCATGCTTTTCAAAGACATCATCATAAAACATTTATTCCGTTTCCGTATTCCAAACCCTTTGGGGGCTACTATGATAATGCAACCAGCAGACCTTTGCAACACACAGCTCACAGTTGTCTGCTGCTGTATCTAAAAAAAATGGATTCCAGTTTTTAATTCTACGGGGTTCTATGGGTTGCAGTGAATCTGACTGTCTGCCATCTGCTGTCTAACCTCAGGCCGGTTGTAAAAGCCTCCTGAGACATCGGGTTATTGTCAATTGCTACTGCATCTAAATGAGGAGAAAAATAACACTTCCTTCAGCATTTATTTATAAGCTGTGGATCCCTCAGCTGGACACCTTCCAAATGTTTATACAATGACAATTCCATAATCTGGTCTTGTTGCTCATCTTCAACAAAGGAAGTAAACATTCCACTTTTGTGACACCGCTGCTAATACTGTGACCCATTTGGAAACCAACACACTGATCCTAGGATTGATGAGGAGGACATTCTCTAAATAATTACTAAAATGGCCGAGCACATCTAATAAAAGGGGTGGCTGACATAGTTCCTATCCTCTTACTCCTGGATCTAAGTTGAAAATACTTTCACAAGACGGATACAATCACGGCAATGGAGAATACCAAGCTGAGTGGTTTCCATTAAAACCTTAGAGTAATTAAAGAGGATCCAATTAAAATAATGTGCAGACAAGGGCATTTTATAATCCGATATCACTTTCAAGTCACATCCTCCCCTAACAGTCCATACACTTTAAAAGCATTGAGAAGCTTAACTGTAATGATGATACCTTCATGGTGTATTTTTGTTTGTATTTTCTGTGCCTTATAGCTTTATGTTTACTGTACATTTGCTCCACTCACCTCAGTAAAATGGCTTAACTCACAAAGGGGTTGTCAGTCACCTTCCCTTCAATGCCATGCTCCTGTGCCTTGTCACCGTTGGGCTAAAGTCTATGGTAATACTACTCCTACTGCTCTAAAGCAGGCTTTATTTATTTGTGGCTTGGGCTGTCACCATGGTTACAATTTGCATGCCATGTTTGACTACTGGTCCAGACTTTCCAGTGACCATAAAATACAGCAGGTTATTCCCGTACAGAAGGCTGGATGAACACTACAGATACACACCTTTGAAGAATATACTAAAGTAATATGCATGTCCCTGGCCTAGGAGAAACAAGCTCAACAAAGCAACACATATCCCTAAAAGATAATGTAAGAGGATTTAGGTTCAAAACAAATGTAGAATGTAACATATCCTGCTTCATCCTCTTTTGCGAGACATTACATTCCTATTTCCTACTGACTGCAGGCTTCTTTTCAAATTCAAATGTGCTTTATCAGCACGAGTCCCATACAGTATTGCAAAAGTAACCTGTGCAAGCCTTCTCCTCTCCTCTTGTCTCTCTTTTTCCATTCATGTAGCTGATGCTGACTTCTGACCTCTCTCTGGCCTAAGAGCTACTGTGCTTATTACATTAGGATGTTTATCACAGCTCTGTCAAAGTATCACTGATCCATCCTGACAGTGTGGTTCAGCTTAATCACATTAATGTGGTGATGCAGTCAGTATGCCAGCCAGCCAACACAGCTGACCCTTTGAAACCCTCTTGTTGGCTAAGGGCCCTGGACCTGGAGGACAGGTGCATAAACCGGATAACGTTAGCAGAAGATCGATTGACTTCCAGCAAACATTAACTAACCAGTGTGCTAACCTTACATTGTAGCTACGTGACTTTCCCTAGGTACTTACTTAGGGGTCCTCCAGGTCCGAGTACCTGGTCCTTGGAAGGCGGAGTGCCGCTTTGTCGCTCGAAGTTGCCGGGGTTAGAGAAATAATCCCTCAACCTCGGGAGCTCTCTGCCAGTCTCCAGCAGTTCTGTGTGAAACTCCAGGGCCGTGAGGATGTACTGGTCCCGCAGTAGCTGAGCAGCGATACCGTCCACAGATATCCGTGTCTCGGCAGCCATAGCGGAGGTAACCGCTACCGACACCGAGCCCTCACCGCCGGGGCTGGTCCGGTTGCTAGACAGCGTCGGAGGCTCGGTGTCTACGGACGGAGAGAAAGGGTTACCGTGCGGAGGCCCTGGAGCCCCGTCACTCGGGCTTCTCTGTGTGTCAACTGTCTCATTGGGGCGCCGTTCAGCCTCTTCCTCAGAGTCACTGAGATTAAACGGGTTGACCGACGCCATTTTTGCACTATAAAGATTCTTAGCTAGCCTGGCTAACCGGACCTCTTCCTGAATGGATGCTAGCTCTGGTTTGGTAGGTTGGTTGAAAAGGGGGAAAATGCAAAGCTGTGATTGGTCAATTTTGAGAGACGTCGTCCCAAAGCCCGCCTCTTTCATGGGACTACAGGAGATGATTGGATAATGGCGAGACAGAAAGGAAAACTGGGCAGGGCACATTTCACAGCTGATAACCTGTGCTAGCTAATGTGTTGTCAAAGAACCACACGCTGTCAAAATAACGCTTTCCTTTGAAACTACACTGTAACACAAATATTTAGAGAATAAGAACTCAAAGCATTTATTTGACATTTAAACAATTGAAAAGTAGTGCTCGCTATGAAATAAATGTATTTAACTACAATACCCACAATTCAGCTGCAAAATACACACGTCAACGTAAGACGTCAGAGTCACAACAAGGAAGTGGATGCTCATGTTTTCTTGTACTAAGCTTCTTATTAAGAGGGACAGTCGGTTTTGTAAAAGGACGCACTTAAAGATTACGCGGATCTTGTTCTGTAAATCAAATCCTCTATCGGTCGTGTTATCTGGATATATAATAATAAGTTAACTACGAGGAAAAAAACCATGCTAAACCATTTGAACGGTTGATAGTATTTTAGATAGTTCTGCTCTTCCATTCATTCGTCAACGAGACAGAGTCCCCGGTTTCTATGGACAGATCCCACTGAAGTCACATACAGGTAATACTTTGTGTATGGTCTAAAGATGTATTGATGCTGGCCCGATGGGTAACTCATTGAGATGTACCAAACTAACCATTACACTTTTTGCATATTATCTAATGGCATATGGTGACAGAAGGATTACCCCTGATCTTAAGCAGTCTTTAAATCTTACATACTGTACTATGGCTTAGTTATACAAAGCTGAACCTTATAAAGTATTCCCTTCGTATTTGAACTAACTTCTTTATCCTGTATTGTAAAACGAAATATGTATCCATGTTTTCCTCAGTCATTTATATACTTTCTTTATACTTGCTTCCCATTTCACCTGAACACACATCAGACCTTACCTAATCCGTCTCCATGCCCCCTGTTTCCCTGCAGACCCAGCTCAGTGTTCACCCTCAAAATGAAGATGATCACCTTCCTCCTGGTGGGACTGATAGTCCATGTGATCTTCTTTGTCTCTATCTTTGACATCTACTTCACCTCTCCCCTGGTCCACGGCATGACCCCCCAGACCACACCGCTGGCCCCACCTGCCTCCAGACTGGTGTTGGTGGTGGCCGATGGCCTCAGAGCGGACAGTCTCTTTACACCGCTCCCCGACGGCTCATCGAGAGCACCATACTTAAGGTTGGGAGTGTGTGTAGTGAAGGCAGTGTGTATATATCTGCATTGAAGTGCCTCTGTGTGTGTGACTATTATTCTGGGTCTTTTATTCCCATGCTTTGCTAATACATCTGTTATAACTAAGGAATATGAGTACAAGTATGTGTGTGTTTCCCAATATCAGGAATGTGATGGAGGAGAGAGGTGCCTGGGGGGTTTCACACACACGCGTTCCCACTGAGTCTCGTCCCGGTCACGTTGCTCTCATCGCTGGCTTCTATGAGGACGTGAGTGCTGTTGCTAAAGGTAGGTGTACATGTTGATACAGATTTGGCTATGTAAAAGATTAAAGGCACAGTTCACCCCAAAACACCCCTGTGTTAGTAGTATCATGTAGGACCTATTTTCTTTCCACCAAACCACACCGACAACCGTATCCCAATACAAAAGTGAAGGATGAATCTACTCGTACTGTATTTGTGACTGTTGTTGTGTCCGTTTTTGACTGCAAGTGTAATTACCTTATTTTACCTGTGTTTTCAGGCTGGAAGGAGAATCCTGTAGAGTTTGACTCTGTGTTTAATGAGAGCAGACACACCTGGTGCTGGGGCAGCCCTGATATTCTGCCAATGTTTGCTAAAGGTACACAAGCACACACACACATACAAAGAATACAATCAGAACCACCAACTTAATCAATAAGCTAAATATTACAGATAAAAACTGTATCATTACTCATTACAGCTTAAATGTGCTGATATTTTAGATCTACATATTCTAACTATCATTGTATTTTGTGGTGTTTCTTGCAGGTGCCAGTGGAGACCATGTGTATACCCACACATACCCAGCAGCGGAGGAAGACTTTGCCTCCACAGACGCCTCCAGGCTGGACAGCTGGGTGTTCACTCAAGTCAAAGTATGGTAGTAGAGTTACTAACAATAATGATGCATGTTGTGATAATAATAATAGATTTATTTTGTTAGCGCTTTTACATGTGCTCAAAGACGCTTTAAAGATATAGTGAAAAGAAAAGAACAACAAATACATATATATAGTTCAAGTCAAATTAAAATCAAGAAGCAATACAAAAGCAGTCACACATTAAAAGCCAGATTGAAGAGGTGGGTTTTTGTGAGTTTTTTGAAGGTGGTCAGGTCGGTGCAGTCTCTGATGGGTTGTGGGAGTGAGTTCCTGAGGGAGGGGGCAGCGACGGAGAAGGCTCTGTCCCCCCAGGTCCGGTGATTGATGTGGGTGGGGATGGATAGGAGGTTGGCTTCTGATGAGCGGAGGCAGCGGGAAGGGGTGTGGTGGTGCAGCAGGTCTGTGAGGTGGGGGGGGGACTGGTTGTTGAGGGCTTTGTAAGTAATGAGGAGGACTTTGAAGTTGATTCCTTGACGGACGGGGAGCCAGTGGAGGTTCTGGAGGACGGGAGTGATGTGGTCTTGGGAGCGGGTGAGGGTGAGGAGACGGGCAGCAGAGTTCTGGACAGGGGCGCGGGAAGGGGGGTGCTGAGGGCGCTGCAGCACCCCCTAGCGGCAGGCAGGCGGAGCTCCTCTGTCTGCAAATTTTATTTTTTTATATATGTATTTTTATTTAATTTTATTGTGTCTGTGATATATTTTATATTATATATTATTATTCAAATGATCATTTTAAACTATATAGTAAATTATTTAGCTTCAGGGAAGAAAAATAAAAAAGATGTGGAAAAAAAGTGTTTTGTTTTAGTCGGCTACTTTTAACGTGACGCACAACACAAGTGGCACAAAAACGTATCTCGGAATTCTTTCTCACTAAAAACGCTAAATCTGCTAAAAACATTGAAATAGAAGATGCAGGGCATTATTACGCAGAATCTGTGTAATATGTAGCCGGGAATTAGCAATGCCTAGATAGCCTACTTTTGTGCGTGCTCTGTAGTGCCCGTAATAGCGTGCACTGGAGTCCATTGTTATGCACTGTGTGTGTGTGGTTTTGCTCGGTGTATGTCAACGTCACCCCCCCCTTCACATGCCATCTTTAACAGATCCTACTATGTTTATTTTTCTCTCTGCACCAGTCATTCTTCCAGTCAGCCAAGTCTAACTCCAGTCTGAGGGCCAGTCTGCTGGAGGATCAGAACATCTTATTCCTGCATCTGCTGGGCATCGACACAAACGGACATGCTCACAGACCAATGTCGAAGTGAGAGAAATGTCATCAGTTGTTGTTTAGGTTGCACTGCACATACAATATAATGAAATAACAAAGAAGCAATGTCTTGTATCTGTTCTTTATCTAGGGAGTACCTCGACAATATTGGACTAGTAGACACTGGTGTAGCTGATCTGGTGTCTATGGTGGAAGACTTCTTTGATCATGATGGAAGAACAGCCTATGTGTTCACCTCTGATCATGGCATGACAAACTGGGGTAGGACTCCCGTTGTTGTTGTTCTTCAACTGTCAGCAAGTGGAAAAAAATGTTCTTATGCAAATGAATTCACAGTAGCCTTTTGTATCGTATGTTGTGTCACCAGGTTCCCACGGAGCAGGCCATCCCTCTGAGACTCTCACACCCTTAGTGGCGTGGGGAGCCGGAGTTAAAAATGCCCAAAAAGTCACTGCAGCCCAACCATATAACGATGGATTCTTACAAGGTGCTAAACTCATTTACTCTTCTCTCAGCTGCCTGCTTTAATTCCTCAAGCTGGGTTTTTTCGACTTTAGTTTAGGACCCAGGTCCTCCTACACCTAAAGAAAACAAAGGAAAACATTTAGTGAAAGCGGCTTAATTTGAAAGACAAACATACATTTTCTCATTGTTTAATTTTAAATGTTTTATTGTGTCCTGATTTTAATCCATACTGTTTCTTCCAGATTGGAAACTGCAGCACCTTCAAAGAGTTGACGTCAATCAAGTGAGGCTCATAGCAATGTCACTTTTTATGTACTTAAAGGGGACCTATCATGCAAAATGCACCTTTGTACGTCTTTTATACATGAATATGTGTCCCCGGTGTTCCAGGGAACTCACCAAGTGTCAGAAAACACAACCCTCTCTATTTCCCTCCATACCCAAATCTCTTAAAAAGGGGCAGCAAC